AATCRAACAARCAACTAGCATAATGAATAGAATTAGCATAATACGAACTTATGGACTGATCGATTTCTCAATAAACTCTATTGTGATCCTATATTATATTATTATTTGTTAAAAWATATCTGTTTTTTTGATAACTTAATACTGCGAGGACAAAATCCTGAAATATAAAAAATTATTTTATCTCTCATTAATCGCCGACGAATCGCCGCTTATGCGCTTGTTATGTTTGTGATCTGCTATCTTTTCACAAAACTTATCTGCAAGATTAACAACAAAGTTGCTATTGAATGGAATACTACATAGATAGTGTAATAGTTTATCCTTAAAATGATACAAACTACTTTCGTATTATCTTTATGCCAACTGTTTGCTCGATTTTTCTACATTAAAATATCTGTTCCGCTATAAGTCTGTTCAAGAGTCGTGAAATAATTTATTGTATCAACAAATTTTTTGTCGATAATGTCGAGATTTCTTATGTCAAGGGATTAGTGGTCAGAGTTAAAGCCTTGAGCAAAAAACCTACGTGTGTATTCATATGTACTCTAAGATCAACATTACTTAGACAAATTTAAGTCTAGTTTAAATATTTACATACCGAYGTAAAGATTCATGACATATGTACATATTACATATGTGTCAATATGAATATCATCCAACTAATTGGGGCTGGTTCGTGTATTAATAAAYATTATCCTACTTATAGCATACATCGAAAAGATAACATATTTTGCAGCATATATGATATATTGACGGAATTGAAACGTGGTCAGCTAAGTAACTCCAAACATATCTGCTAAACTCATATAGTACATGAGTGTATTCAATATGGCTATATTACTTACTAAAAGATAGCATATTTCGCAGCATGAAATTTTTATTGACGAAATTTGAAATATGATTAGATAAGCTCCTTTTTTCCTTCCTAATATTTTTTGTTTAGTTGCTTAAACGTTGTCGTCTTAAAAAAAGTTCTATTTATAAAACATGTCCGTGTCATATGTACACGCTTTACTATTATCAGCAATAAACAAAWGCCAAGATTAGATGAATATTAGTATGTACGCCTTTTTGTAACCACTTGGACACAATTACTTTACTGAAAACAAATATACATATATGTATATATTGCCGCATATATGTATGTATGTATATTGTGATAACATGTGCAAAAGCTTATTAAATTTCCCACATTCTACTTTATGGCATGACTAGTTTCCGGTAAATTCCGAAATCCCACGCTGCGGTTTAAATGCCGTATACGTCACAGTTGTGTGTTGCATAAGTTGTAATCATGGAATTTACATAAAATAATCAATACACAACGTACATTTACATGTCACCAGTGCATAAATAGCTTTTTCGTCAACTATGTTGATTGACTGTCATACAAGCTTTCTTGTTGGAAAGATGCTCTTAATTTTAATTAAAAAGTCAAACATTTTCATGGAATCTTCTTAAACTTCTGTTTTTCAGCACGCATTTTAAAATTATTGGTATTTTCCGTTTTTTTTTTTTTTTTTTTTGTGGTTGTTGGCATATTTATGATATTTATATTAGGGTGAGCCAAAAACCAAAAAACCGATTTTTACATTTTTCGTTTCGTACTCAGAAAAATTAGTTATACATAGATACCACTCAGAAAGGCTCTCCAAGTATGAGATCCTAATTGTAACGGTCCAGCTAACGGTGTTATATTTTTTTCTTATTATCGGTTAGAAAAATTCATAAAAATTCGCTTCCAAGTACTTRGAACCATATTTCACTTTGTAGGCAATTGAATACTCTACAAAATGGTATCTTACGGATTTTTCGCAAACCTAACCGTTTACAAGATATTACACTTAATTAAAGAAATTTCGAATACTTTTCGGAAATTTCTATAAAACGACCTTACGTCCGATACACATTTTATAATGTCGTGTTTTTCAATAAGAGCGCTACAGAAGTTTTTTTTTTAATAAAACAGTTTGGGATAACAATCTTTATTCCTGTGAAAGTACACTCGATGTCATTATGTATCGAACTCGATTTCTCTTGGATTTCCACCACGGTCAGTTTTCAAGCATTAATAGGCCGATACTTCTGTAATTTTACGTTCGTTATRCTGGCTTGTTGGCATAGACCATAGACTTGACGTTGCYCCACAGGAAGTAGCCTAACGGCATCAAAATGCACGACCGAKGCGGCCAATTGACTGGGTCAATTTGTGAGATAACACGTTCACCAAACTTGATTTTCAATAAATGGATTGTGACATTCGCTGTGTGGCTTGAGGCGCCATCCCGGTGGAACCACATATTGTACAAGTTCATATCATCCAATTCGTGCCAAAAATATTCGATTATCATAGAGCGTTAGCGATTCCCATTCACAGTAACGTCATTTTCAAGTTGTTGCTCAGCCCAATTCACGAACATACGACGATTCTGGTGGTCAAGCGGCTTCATTTCTTGTGTCAATTTGATCTTGTAAGAATGTAGGCCAAGATCTTTTCGCAAAAATCGCCACAACGAGATCACAGAGATGCCCAACGATGTGTGAGACAATGATTTGGGGCATTCTCCTACGGACACTTCTCTGTCTGACTGGCACGTGAACATTTTGTACTGTGGCTTTGKATTAACATTTTTTCCACTTGRCGCTCAATTGTKGATCTGACCGGACGATGACGACGACCATAAATTTAACGTAGCGCTCTTAAAGTTGAGGCCACTGACTCGAAATAATTATGTTACTAAAGAGAAAAGTCAAAACAACGGGAAAAATATGGCGTCGTTTGCTGTCCCTATAAGTCTACTGTTGTAGCGTCCATATTGAAATATCCGTTAGTTCCAAGTTTACTCTTTTTCAATCATTGAAACTATATCTCAAATWAAAACCGAATACTTTATTGAGCGGCGGAAATAATTCCTATAATTATTGTGAGGAATGTTGCGAGTTGACTGTCTTTATAAAAAGCTGGAACCGTTCCGCTTACGTAAACCCGAACTTAACCGAATACTTTCGAAGTGTCTTCTTAGAAAACTTATTGTTTCCATGAATCAAAAGCTCTTAAGTAAAAATTTCGGAATTTTTTGTATAAGGTTAGTAGGTTTTACTATGTATGTTGATATCTCTGGGTTCTCATCTGCTATGAATTTCTTTCTTTTTTTTTATAATTTTCATGGGCTTCTGCATAGTCTAATCCGATACTGTTCCCATTTGAAGAAAATCGAAATTATTAATAATAATATAAATTACTATTTTTTTGCATATTCATAAAGGAGTCGCGTGCGCGCAGAGATTTCGTTGGCATGCCATTAAAGCCTTGCCTCATGCTCTTAAAGCCTTGCACAATACCTTACTTTTCTTTGCATGTGATTAAAATATAAAATAAGGAATTAAAGGAAGTTGTTAACATGACCTTTTAGACAAGTATTTAATTAGACTTAAAGGCTTATGACCCTTCAATTTGTAAAGGAAACTCAGCACATATGTACATTTAAATGTCTGTCAACTGCAAACAACAACAAACAGTACCTACAAGGCTAAGCGTGTTAACAAGTCGCGTGGAGTGAAGTAAGTGGTAAGTAGGTAACTATTAACTCTGTGCAAAAAGGGTGACGCGTGTGTCCAACGACAACTCGCCGCATTGCTCATCGTCSCTTAAACGAAACGTGCAAATGTTTGAAGTTTCCTTTGTTTCCTTGCATTATCGCATGCCACATGCCGCTTGCCATTGCTCCTCCATCCCTTCTACGCGAAGCTGGTGCGTTTCATCTCGTGACTCCACACGAAGCACCAGCAACAGCGAACATTGACCAACTTAAACACTAGCCACTGTCCACTGACAGTTGGCGGTTTTCTTTCGGTTTTGAGCGAACGGCATATGCCGTGTGGCAACAATAACAATTTAGTTGTAAGCATGCTTGCGTCTGTGTGTGTTTTGCGGCGCGTTGAGCGCCAACGCATATGTGCATGTGCCACACATTAGTCGCCAGTAGGCATTTGCAAAATTTCCATGGGGTTGCTGCGRACTTTCAAGAGTGCGCTCGCTTGCCTGTGGCTGTGGGTTATTATCCTTTAATGTACACCGACTGCGAATTGTTTGGGAAATATGAACGAAGGCAGGGCAAGAATGTGTAGTGCTTCCTGCTGTTGCTGTTAAACCTTTTGTTGCCTCGCAAATTCACTTATGCACTTATTTGATTATGCTTGCTGTGCAACTGTGAGTTCTTCACTTTTTTTTTTTTTCTCAACTCACATTCTTGCTACGAAGCTACAATGAATATGCGCGCAAATGGCAAAAATGCGTACATCTATTTATTTTTTTTTTTTTGGTAGAATTTGCTTTCTTTGATGGTTTTATTTAAACAATTGTGAAGCTCACATGTTGCCGCTGCGGTTGATGTCCATCTTTTATTGCCGTTAGCCCGGCCTCCTTGCTGCAATTGCTTGGTTGTGGTATCACTTGCTGCATATTGAAATTCTTTTGCATCTGTTGCGTTTTTTTCGTCTCTTTAATGCGGTTAGCAAATCGTCATCATTTGCAATGCACAATATCCTCATTTCCTCATTGTAACTGTGCATGCAACATTGCCAACATTTGTTRCTCATTTACCTTTGGGAGTAAAACATTTGCATGCTACGGTTTTTTCTTCTTCATCTTTTTGTAACACATGTGCGTCTGCTTACACATACATATTTAATTGGSCTGAAAATTTTACAATTTCAAAATACACTCCCTTTGGCATTTAAAATCCGATTACATGCTACACGTAGTCCTTGGAGATTGTAAGACGAGACAATCGGKCACTCAAACGTGGCCATGTGCACTTACTACGTACAAACATATAAATTTGCATACAGAAAAGTCAAGTGTCGTTAATGGTTTGCAAATGTGGCATACAATTCTCGCACATCCCCCAATAATGTCATGTTGAAAAAGTGCTTGCAACAAAGATAAAAGGAGGTTGTTTTAGGAAGTGTGCGGTAAAAAAATAATTAAGATAAAAGAATTTGGCTGAACTATTTAATTAAAATGTTTAAAAGCATTGTATCACAATGTTTGATATGATTACTTTGGCACGTGTTAATGGATCATCAGCGAAAATGAAGAGAGCGAGAGAGAGTTACATTTAGATGTCACTGCCCAAGAACTGACATTCCTTATGGATATATCTTTAATTGTATGCCGCCACAACAATAAAAAATTGCTTTTCAGTTTCACGAATTACAAAACACTGATTTTAAGGCATTCGGTTGAAATTCCCTGCTCCCACACCTTATCAAGAATTTTATTCAATTCGCGTTTTGAGTTTGGCCAGTGTCGAGTTACTTTCATTTTCATGGCATGCCAAAGATTCTCTATCGGGTTCAAATCGGCAGAACATCCTGGCCATGTCATATGCGATATCTCAACATCTGCAAACATTTTCTGAATCTGCAAAAAAAGAAAATGTAGACAGATGACATTTTTCTTAAATATAAACATTAGGATACATCGATGATTAAATAGCATATAAAGCTTACCGAAGATGGCCTCAGAAATATGCTCATATTGTTCTTCTACGACCGCCACGATAAAATGGGATATAACTTCTTGATACTTCTGAGCGTTCCTCATCTCATCAATAAAAAGTAAAGGACCTCGGATATAAAAAGAAAAACACGTCCAGACCATTTAGCTTTCAGGATGCTTAAAAGTTCACACAATTTTCGGCGAAACGTTTCCCCGGAAATCGCGCGTTGTTGTGCAAATTAAATCAGGTTTCATCCGACCATATTACCATTTTCTACGACTCGAAGGACCAGTTACGGTGCGTTTTCGCCCAATTCAAACGACCAAGCCTGATTTTCATGGTTAAAAGTGGTTTAGCCACGGGTTTCCGCACATTCAAATCATACAATGTCAAATAACAAAAATGTATTCAAATACCAACATAACCGTTACAATTACACCTAAAGTGTATATCCATAAGAAAATTCACTGCTAAAGTTTGCGTGGCCACGAGTATGTGCTGAAGTGGTCCGATCTGAACAATTTATTCCGAGATTCTATCGTTGCTATAAAAAATAAGCCATGAGAAATTTCTTGACGATATCTTTTGGAATAAAAAAAGTTTGCCACATAGGAACACGATTTTAATTGTTTAGTTTTCAGATCGATATTTTACAGACTAATTCGCGTATATATAGACAGATAGAAAAACGCACTCGAATACTTTTATAAGCGAATATCTAAAAAAAAATCGCCAACCTTCATATTTTGAACAATTGGAAATCAATTGATGTTGCAGCGGCAGAATTTTGTCGAGTTGACAATTCTGCACCGGATAAAAAATCCGAGTCCGTTCCGGTTATGTAAACCCGACTGTCTTGCGAACRGATAGATCGCTATATGCTTATASATTTGATTTCCATAAGTCGTGAAGAGCGATCTGAAATGCAAAAGGAAAAAGATTAAAACTTGTGTCAAAAAATACAATATTATACAAAACTTATTTTTTTTTTTCACTGTGTGTTTCTTTTGTGTTACTCTGAATTTAATGACTTGACAAGCTCCATTTCATTATTGCCACTCCGACAATGTGATTTTATTTTTCATGCCACAAAATGCCATTTCCTTTACCACATTTAGCCGCAAAACCATTTATATTTGTTTGTCTCTCTTCACACATCTTCTTCTTGCTTTCACGCTGCCTATGTGTGCTTTATCGCCACTGCATTGTTTGCGCTTTGCATTTGGCTTACAAATGGCCTATGTAAACTTCCTGTGCATGGGCATTTTGTGTTGTTAATATMCATGTGAGTTTCTAAATTGATATAAATATATATATATATTTTTTTTTTTGAGTTTTCCTGCATTGTTTCTGCTGCAATAATCTTTGTTCCTTCACCACATGTTTGTAGTTCTAACGYTACGCAAATGCACGCTGAATGTGTAGTTAATACTGATCGTCTTCAGTCAATTTCAGCATTTTCCGCTTGCCAATACATCCATGCATATACCCATATTATATATGTGGAACACATGCAACATTGYTGCAATTCTATGCATATGTATCTCTGTACTATTAGCTGTTTTGTTTCATCGGTCTGTCAGTCAAACATGCACTCACTTTTCCATACTCTGTCAGCCCGTCAGTCAAATGTTGGACTACACGTAGCTTTTTGCATTCTGTCGCCTACAGCCAATACTATACGCACACAGATCGATATATAAGTATGTACATTGGAGCGTACACCAAGACTAGAGCTTAAATATTGGTTGACTTTTATCTTTAAAGCGAAGAAGAGAGTGTCAATATAAAAGTTTAAAGAACAAAGAAATCATACAGACATATTTACATACTTACCTCACACCTGTAAAAGTGTCGCCGTGCTCAAATCTCTCTTGTTCGCCATACATTTAGCTCACATAGTGTCAGTATTGCCATTGCTATTAAATTTCACCTAAAAACTAGAGGAATGTTACTGTCTAACGGAACTTGCTAACATATGGATATTTCCATTACTAAGACTAGATTATAAAAGAATTTGATTTGAATATCTGGCTTTTTGAAATCCTAAAATCTTAAACTAAAATATATTTTTTCAAATAATAACTAATTCTAATTGTCCGAAAGTAGACCTAGACTTCTATCAATTCCAATTTATAACTAAACGATTTTATTACAACTTATTATCCGTCCAAAAACAAAAAACAATACCAACCCTAATGTTTCTTTACGCATAGGAATTTTATATTTATATATACATAAGTGTGTATTTCTCATTTGTATCTCTCTGCTCCCACCACCTACCTACGCTGGTTCATGTGTATTAACACTCTTCAGACATTTTCATTACGTTCACATTTCTTATATCACACCACTCCTTGTAAACCAAGGCGACCCATTGTTGTTCCACACATTTCCTATTTTTATAAAATGGATATAATCTTTTATGTTCTTCCTTATTTGTGTATCTGAAATTTTGTTGCGTTCACTGTCAATTCTTCGCGCACTTCCATTTACTTACTAAAAGTGACTGGAATTGCAGTGAGCGCACAAGAGCACCGAAAGAGAGTCCAAATGAGAAGCCAGGTGGAGAGCTGAGGGCCAGAGTCGACGGTGACATATGTTTGCATCAAACATTGTGTGCATACATTCGCAACAACAACAAGTAAGAAACAGTTTTGCTTGCTTGCAGCACTGATTTGTTGCTTTTGTTGGCTGCATTTGCAGCGGAAATGGTAAAATAGCAGCAAACAAGAGCAGCAACAATATTTTTTTATGAGTTCCTTTTTAGGTATTTGCTGGCACACACATATTCATATATATTTATAAATGTGTATATAGGAATGTATGTACATACTTGGGAACTCTAATGGGCCACCAGGCACTCAGCAAGTAGCTTGGATATCAAAGAAGTTAAGCGTGGTTGCTATGTGTGCCCTGCAACATTGTTGGTTTATAGCACATAATTGCTCTAGCCAAATATATCATTAATTTTCGCAATGGTTTATTAAATTAGCAGCATTATGACAGCCTGAAGTCTGAAAGCTTGTGGAAAGCCATTTTCCTCTTGTAGTTAAAATTATCTTTTTCCCCAAAGAACTTTCGCAGAAATCCAAGAAGTTATCTATAAGGAATTTTCAATTAGAAAAAAGTATTTCTAGCATTACAACAACTACTCACACAGTTTAGCATGACATTTGTTTTATAAAAAGTAAAAGCCTTAAACGACATATTACATTTTCCAAAATAACCATATTTAAAACAAACCGTCTTGTTTCCGATTTGCAGCAAAAAACTGAACTGAGTCCACCCGCACATCAAACACACAGCAMCGATGCGAATAGCACGCAAAGCGGTAGCAACGGTTCTGGCAACAGCAGCCACAATTCGGCCTCATCAGGTGCAACATCCGCTTCAATATCCGCCTCCATTGCCTCCACTGCGGCGGCATCAACACTCTCCACCGCCACCGCCTCGCACAAATACACACTGTCAACGGATGCCAAAAATGGTGGTGGCGGAGCAACAAATTTAAGCACCAGCAATGTCAACTCGTCGGCGTCGAATGCGCATAAATCCAACACCGCTGGCAGTACAAATAGCAACAACAACAGCGGTAGCAATTCAAATGCCCAAAATTACACCAGCGCAAAGGAGCAGCAGCATCATCGCGATGACCGTTACACCACACAAGCGCCAACGAACAGCGCTGCGAATGCCGCCAGCAATGCAGCGAATGCGGCAGCCAACGCGCCCAGCCTATATGTCTCTGTGCCACTCTCCACCGCCAATGTACCTGGAATCAATTTGCCAACAAGCAGCGCAGCAGGTGGCGCAACAGGTAAGAGCACGTGCCAAGTATTATACAATTATACACAGAAATGTAGACATTTATCTAATCACCATCTCTTTTCCATGCAGATCACCATGCCCCACCTTCACAGTCGACGCGCGCAGCTGCAGCAGCTATAAGTCAACAGCAACAACATCAGGGTGGTGCTGCAACAATTAATATGACAGGGAGCAACACGTCGGGCACGCATGCGACTGCCACAACGACAGCACTTGGTGCGATTGGTAGTAGTGGTGGTGGTGGTGGCGCTGGTGGAATGCTGGAGCGACAATCACCACGCATTCATCATCAACCGCCGGCGCTTTCCGAACATCACAGTAATAGTAACAGCAGTTATTTTGCTAGTTCGGCAAGTGGTCTGCCAACAGCGGCGCATAGCAGTGTCATACATCAGAGCGGTAAATCGCCATCGGGCAATATGATGTTGAGCGCAAGCAGCAATCCCAATCTGATGGCCACCACAACGGAGACTGGCAACCTGAAAATCAGTTATGAAAAGCAAACAACGCGTGTCAGTCAGCTGCAAGAGCAAGAAACAGCACCAGTGCGAAGGAGCAGGTGAGTGTAATTAAATACAAAGTTTTCCATATTTTGTTGTTCTGCTACCATGTTGATGTATATGCTTGTATTTGAGCAGTTGAGTACACATAAAAAAACTCATAAACAAAAGCACTTTACCACCCACCAGTTGTTTTGCATGCCTTTCCATTATATAGTATACTACACAAAAAAACCAAAAACTTTTCCAATTGCTTTCTAGCGCTTCGCGTGCTAACACAGACATTTTTTAATTCCCTAATCATTTTCCTTTTTCTTACTAATTTCTATTGAATCTATAGTTTGCTTTTTCTGTTTTTACTAATATCAAATATAGTTTATTCTTTTGCCTCTATTATTTTACTTATTTGAAGAAATCAGTTACTTTCTTGAATACCCAAGTTAATTGCTTTTGCTGCTGTTGTTGTTAACGCCCAACTTCGTATCCCGCCAACTAAGTGTGATTACGTTACTGAACACACCACCAAAACGGTATAGGAAGTATACGCATCGCAAGATTGCAACGAAAACAGAAATTTCATTCAAGGAATTTCTGTAAAACGGAACACTATGAATATTTGATTGAAATTTTGTTGCAGGTACTTGCAAAGAGTTACTCATTCGATTGGTATGCCGGTATTTAAAAAAAAAAAATCTGTTTTCCACTTATTTGTAAAGTTTTGTGTGTGGGCATACAATTAAAACGAATGTAGATTTGAACAATAAGAGACCCATAAAGAAATATATTGTTGCAAAAATCGTAAAATCATTGTATTTTTTTTCTATATCTGTAAAAATATTAAAAGTAAAAAAAAGAATATTGTTTGGCCAAAGCCTCCCAAGTCAAGCGGCATTAAAAAAAAAAAATATTTTTTTAATAAATGTTATTTGCAAAGATCAATACTGTTACTATATGAACATAATCAATACAATGCTAGCAGCATTTTCAAACACCTCGTTTTGTACATATTTTAAGATGCTTTTGGTTTTTTGATAATTAAATTTTATTTCATCCGATTTTAAACACACACATATCAAATACCTGTATATATACAATTCAAATAGAACAAATTACATACAAACATAAATCTAAATTCTTGCTAAACCGAAATCTAGAAGAAAAAAATTACTTTAAATTGATCATATGATCTATAATTAACAAGATAAATATATATATACAATAAATACTCCCTAACATTCGAAAAAGGATTTGTTTCTAGAACCAAAACACACACATAAAACATATAAGTATTTATAAATGTGTAGCTCGAAATGAATCAACAAAAAACTATTAAATACCTTATTGATTAATATCTGCAATTCACCACACGCATCTACCCGTCACAAACACACATACACACATAACCATACAAAAGACAAACAGCAATTAAGCCGAATTTGAAGTGAATACTGAAGAATTGTCAATGTTTTTTCTCTGCTTTCTCTAATTTTTCTCTCAAATCAAAACAAAAATCTTAAATGCGAAATGAAACTTTTACTTAATAAATGTATACGAAAACTCACCACTCACGCAATGCAATCAAATGGCTGTATTCACTCACTTTCCACAACCAACAAAAAATGCTAATTTATCTAACAACGTAAAAAACCACAACAACCACCAACCTACTGCTTAAATGTAATAGGTCGCGTTCGGGTGAGAGTAGTATGCAAGCGTTACAGGCGCAACAACTACAACAACACCATCAACAGCAGCAGCAGCAGCAACAGAGTGGTCAATCACAGCAGCAGCAGCAGCAACAACAAGCGTTGGCAACACAAAAAACCAATTCCCGCTCCGGTAAGAAAAGGGCCGCAGCTGCCGCAGCAGCAGCCGCAGCCGCCGCCGCTTTGGTTGGCAACAAAAATCGCGATTCGCCAATWGAAAAGCTAACGAAATCATCACCGTCGCCAATACAACAACATTTTCGCAACGAATTAGCAACRCCTACACCACCACCAAACGCACCCTCACCACTGTCACTGCCACCGCCTAGCGCTTCGACACCGACACCAACACCCACACCTACACATACACCTTCACCATCGCCGGTTGTAATGTTACAAGGCAGCAGTAACAGCAATRCATCCAATACAGCATCACCAACAAGGCAAAAGCATGCCAACGGCAACGGTGGCAACGAAGCGAACGGCGCTGGCRACGTGAATGCCAATGGGGGAAGTAATAATGGTGGCGGTGTCAGTGGCACATCAACAAATATGGTCGCGACAAATCTTACGCTGGCAGGTGCAACATCCAGTTCAGGTCTCACAACCGCTGCCTCGTCCTTCTCCAGTCATGATTGTGACATGTCTGGTGCCACTGTCAAATCGGGTAACAACAACGACGAAGTTGTGAATCTTAGCTCTAATCAGGGCGCTTTAAATAATGCCAGACGTGGCGGTGGTAATRCCTCAAGTACTGCAATAGAAGGTGGCAATATGGGCGCCACCGGCGCGGGTGCGTCTGGTAAGAACACAAACGATGCATCTTTGATAACCACAAATCTAGGTGGAAAACCACTGAATAAGAAATTGTTACGTGCACAACAAACGCTCTATCAGCAACAGTTAGCCGCGCAGCAACAACAACAGCAGCAACAACAAAAGCGTTCACCTGATCACAAAAATGGTGGCGGTAGAAATACAAATGCCACCACAGGCGCAACTGCCGCCACTTCCTCCACCTCCTCAACCAGTTCCCCTTCCTCTAATACGGCCACAGTTTCGCCTGCTAAAGCTTTAACTAATCTAACCAATACTAAACCTAATAACAATCCTTCCACTGCTAATCCCTCAAGTAACACTGCAACATCAACTGCTTTTACTAACTCAACCACTAGCCACAATTTAAATAACAGTAGCAATAGCAATATTAATAACGGCAATAGTAGTAGCAATAGCGCCACTAACACAAGTCAGCTGCAAACGCAACAGCATCAGCAACAACAACAACAATCCGCTCAACAGCAACAGCAGCAACAAAATAATGTTGCTGCTGCTAGCGACAGTAATAATGATATCATAGAAATTTTGCAATTAACCCCAACCAACACTTCTACTTCTTCAACGCTAACTCATCATCAACATCATGCCTCTAATCATCCACCACAATCAAAAACATTGCAAACCCCCGCAAACTTGGCAACAACTTCAACAACCACATCGGCTGGTATACACCACAGAACGCCAGATAGCGGCATCTACTCCTCCTCGTCCTTTGTGGCGAACAGCAGCACCGTATCGAATGCCTCCTCGAGCAGCAGCAGTAGTAGCGTTGGTTGCGGTGGCCTAAAATTCAGTTACGAACCTCAAGCCGCGGCAATCGATTCGCCGGCAGCACATTTACTCACCGCCGTCACAACTGCAACAGCGTCGTTAAACGCAATGACGACTAATATTACCACAACCACCTCTACCACAACCATCAAAGACTCACCGCCCAGCTCACCAGGCTCCGAAATCGGTGCAGTGGCAACAGCGCCACGGAAACGTGGACGTAAAGCAAAAGATCCACTTGCAAATGCGAATGAGGCGAAAGTTGATGTCAAAGTTTTTCAGAATGGTGGTCATGTCTTAGGTGCCACGCCCACAACCGCCGCTGCAGCAAATATGGCGAACAGTGCGCCGTCAGGTGTGCCCAGTAGCGGTTCGACGTTGCACACCGCTGCCCACATGCTCGGCAATCAACTAAATCCGAATAGCAATGTGGCACAGAAGCTCTCCGACCAACTGCACATGGAAATACAGGATCACAGCATCTACACCGCAGATACTGTAACACCGCAATTTGTGGGTGTACCTTTCCCAGGCAAATCGACGGTAAGTCACTTAATTTCAAGCTCTATGAATTTCATTTTTAATTTAAGTTTCACATTTTCACACACAGCGTAACACTACTTCGACGCCGATCTCAACCAGCAACAACACGCTCACAATCAACTCAGTCAGCGCTGTAACACCCGCAACAGAAATGACCGGTGGCACATCATTAGCATCGATGTTCGGCAGCGGTGTGAATGGTAATATGTCCATACCGCAAAGTTTGGAACAACTGCTCGAACGTCAGTGGGAACAGGGCTCACAATTTCTCATGGAGCAGGCGCAGCACTTTGACAGTAAGTTGATACTTCAATTCAGTTGTTAAATATTTTTAGTTTTATCCAAAGAAATAAATTAAATTTCTCTTGCATTTTACAGTCGCTTCTTTGCTCTCCTGCCTACATCAATTGCAACGTGAAAATGTACGCTTAGAGGAACACGTGACCAGTCTGATTGCACGTCGGGATCACCTGCTAGCTGTGAATGCACGGCTTGCCGTTCCACTGAAAACGAATACTACGCAGAGCCAAGGTAAGTGAAATAGCGCAGTGCGGAGAGAAATGTAAACAAAAGTCAAATGGCTTGTACAAGTGAGAGAAAAGAGTATGCAAATATGCATGGCTCCAAGTTAAATAACTAGGAAAATTGCAAGTAGTACGCAAAGATTCTCTCACATGTGTTTCTGCAATGCAGGCTATACCCACATACCCAGAAGAAAAAGAAAAAAAACAAAAACAAAAACTGTGCGCGGCTGCTTTTTCACTTACGGCTCTAAATTTCAATTATTCGCAAATCTAACAGAAACTCAGACACAAACAAGCGAAAAACTTGTGCGAAAATATGCATACAATATGAAAAGCATACATACATATATATATCTATATATATATATATAGTTTAGAACGAAATTCAAGTTTAAGTTTTTTTTACTGTTTTTGGTGTTAAGCTTAACATTAATCGTTTTTGTTTTTTTTATTAGTTTCTAGCTTTGCTATGTACTTTTCCTCTTCATTTTGGGGCCCAGTATTTATATATAAATAATTTAATGTTTTATTGGTTATTACTTTCTTTATATAGTTGATTAAGTGTAATGTGAATTGGCCTTTTTGCTTTTGATTATAAATATATACATAATACTGCAGTAAAACATAAATAATGCATTTTTGGAAATTTAAATTTGTTTCATGCTGATAATTTTTTTTTTTATTAGTTGAAACATTGAAAACAAAACGTCATTAAAACCAAACGCAAACAAAATTGAATTGTACATATATTTGATTAGCATTTAAACATCTTAAGATTTAGTTAATACACCCTTCTTTATATTTATATATATGTATATATACATAACTTATTTACTTGGATGTGTGTTTGCACACGCATCTACGTTTGAATATACAATATTTGTATGTATTAGAGATTTATTTAAATATAATTTGCATACTCCTATATAGTATATACACATAAAACGTCAATAATAAAAACAAAAATTAATATAGCTGCACATACAATAATAGTTTACCAAAACGGTAATGAAATGAGTACAAAAACAAATTTTGTTTGTAACAACATACATACTATATAAATAACACACACGCACATATATACATAGTTTGTAACTAATTAATATTAATTTTCTTTCTACAACTTTTGGTTTGTATAAAAATTATTACTTTTTCTTAAATTGGCTGGACATAAGGAACACTGTTATCATTCAATTCAAATTGTATATATGTATGCATGTGAATATGGGAATGTTACCAGCGTATTTAATGATGGTGGTGTATAAAGAAACATTTTTAATTAAATTTGTCACTGAGAATCGTTGTAATTACAATGAATTTCTGTTAATTATACTTAAAAATTTCGAAAAGCTTAAGAAAGTTAATAAACAACGTTGAATTGTCTTCTAATAACGCTTTCAAACTGTCGTTACTCACAGCATACATATTTACATGCATTTTCATCACTCACCGCATCCAAACTCATGTACACCAATCACACATGTGCGCAATCACACATTTAACACCCACCCATTCGTACGCTTCTGTGTAAAATGCTAAGTTTCAAATTATATATATTTAAATATAACAAACCTATATTTATTATAATCACATGTATGTTATACTACACAAAAATATTTACTTTATACATATAATTAGTGTTTAAATTTATATAAAATATTTATTTCCCCACATCTCTGTCATATATATTCACCTACTATAAACCAACCCACCAGTCAATCATTCACGTACATTTAAATTAATATTAATTAAATTAGTAATTAAAATTTTTGAAATTTGCTGAATATAAAATGAAAAACTTTTAAAAAATTTAAAACTAAAAAATGGTGTTTGTTTATTTTCTTTACATTATCTTTTTATTGAAAAATAATAAGAAAACCCTTTTTTTGCGTGGCCATAAGAGTAACCCATTTTCCTCAATCATTCAAAAAAAGAATACACATGAATCTGCATTTATGCATTAACTTATTTTATAAAAACTCTTACAGCTTTTACTTTGAAAATTTTCATTTACTCCACTATACTCTATTTGTTTCAATTATATATATGTATCTATATACAATATATATGTTACTGTGGGCAAAAAATAGCAAGACTTATTAATTTTAGTTGCAAAAAATTTTGTAAGCGGAATAAAATTTCTGSTGCCAAAACGTTCAGAATGTTGGAAAAGGTCTTCGGTACTAATTATTGGTCGCAAGGAAGTATTTTTGATTAGTACAAATTATTCAAAGAGGGTCGAGAACGCGTTGATGACGAACCTCAACCAAGACGGCCATCAGCATCTGCTGAKGATCAACACGTCATTAAAATAAAGGAATTGGTGCTTGCGAATCGACGATTAACAGTCAGAGATCTTACTGGCATCGTTGGAATATCGRAATGACCATTTAAAACCATTTTTAAAGATCATTTGGGCCTAAGAAAAGTGAAAGCACGATTGCTGCCAAAATCACACTTTTTTTTTTAAAAACAGCGTCACGTTAACATCCGTGAAATCATRCTTTCCGMCTACCAGGATGTCAAGATSACGGTTATGTTGACAGTTTTCTTCGTTTAACAAGGTGYGGTGCACTCCGAACTCCTTYCRAYCGGCCAAACTGTTAACAAGGAATAATGTTTGAGTGTTATGTGTAATTTGCATGAAGCTATTCATAAAAATAAGCCGRACTTATGGGCACTGTCGCATACTGCATTGATTTTTCGTTAATTTCTCACAAAATTTTCAACCCATATCATGCCGCAACCAGCGTATTCGCTTTATTCAGCTCCGTGTGATTTCTGGCTATTCAACAAACTCAAACGACCGCTCCGGGGCAACCTTTTAGAAGACATTAAACGTGAATCGCTATCGGAAATTTACTTTAAAAACTGTTTCGATCACAAGTGTATTCGAGCTAAGAGGCATTCCTTTGAGGGGGACGACTTCGATTTTGAAGAATAAATTAGGAATTTTAAATTTATGAACCAAGTCTTACTATTTTTTGCTCCTCATAGTATATGTATACTCCACTGAGAATTCTCTTATGTATTCCTGCATTTTCCTTGGTATTTCAAAATTTATTCCGTGTTTTTCCTCTGCTAGATTTATATTCACGGCAACGGTTGGCATTTTTTATTCACTATTCTACCTTATCTCACATCAATTCTTTCCTTGGTACAAGTTGGTTCTCTTGTAATATTTGTTAGGTTTATTGTACTCAACGAATTTCGAATAAGTTCACTGAGGTTAGCTGGTATATAGTAAATGTATGCAAAAATCCGTGCTTACGAGTAGTCACTTGTTATTCGCTTTTGACTAGGGACAAAATAAAATATAAAATTTCAGCTGAAATTCGTTCGAAACAAGAATGCGAACGCATAAGAACAGATATTATGAAGATAACTTTTTGACAAAAACAGATCAATTGACTTTTTCACACTCAACAGCGTCTAAGCACAACTACTCCTTTCATTAGTAATAATGTGAGACCCGGATTTAAGAAAAAATAATCGTTTTTTAGGTTATATACTTCTTATAAAACCTAATTTTGTTAACACTGAATTAAATTGAGATCCTAAGCCCTCACTCTCCTCGATCCGTTGAGAGGCATAACACATTGTTCTTATATAGATTTTCCTTAAAAAAGTACAAAAAGTTTGAACTGCAACTAACGATGTTACAGCCACGGCCGTATCATCGACAGCGATATCCACCAGTGTTGCCASCGTCTCGACAACAGCTCCAGCCGCAGGCGTTGCGACAGCGACCTCGGCAATAGCAGCTGCCTGTGCAGCAGCAGCAATAGCAACAACAACAGCAGCGGTTAATGCGCTTGGCGGTAACAATGCGGGCACTGGCGTCGGAGCTACAGGCGGCACTAGTACCATTGGCCCTGCCAATGCCGGCACCGCTTTAACAACTGTTGTAACTGCTGCAGCAACGTCACTTGCTACCGCTGTGACCACRTCGCTAACTGCTATGACTGTGAATACACGCGTGCCCAATACSAGCACAACGGCATCAGCTGGTGCAGGGGGTGGGGCACCAGCTTCGCGCCTAAATACAAGTGTGCCACAACAACACGTGTTGGAAAATGGCATCGAYTTTCGGCAAGCAAGCGCAGCAACAACGACAACGTCAGCGCATGGTGGTACAGTTGGCAGCGGTGGAGGCGTTGGTCCACCCATGGGCATGAGGTGAGTTACATTAATTACAATTAAAGACAAAAGATCAAAAGTTAACATAAAATTTTGAAACTTAACTACATATTTGTTTTATGTTTTCTCAAATTTTATTTCTTCTTCTTACCGCTTGTTTCCACTCCGTCACATATTTGTTGCTCATTCACATCCAATTGCTGTACCGCTATGTTTGTGCGTTTTGTGCACATTTCAACTGCTTTTGTGTGTTCTATGTTGACACTTAGGCACTCCACGGCCAGCTATGTAAGTGCCTCAGGAATACCAGCAACCAGCATTGCAGGCAATCTGGCAACAGCAATGCATCCCAATAATCTCGAAGGMCTTGGCAACATGYATACAACAGCTGCAACCACAGGTGGCGCAGCAACCGCTGTTGTTGGTATGTCCACAATGACGGCAAATCGTCTTGCACAACAACAACAACAACAACAACAGCATCAACAGCACATGCATTCATTGCATCAGCAGCAACAGCAACAACACCAGCATCATCAAATGTCGCTTGCGGCCGCACAGCAACAACAGCAGCAGCAGCACATAGCACAAAGTGCCGCCGCAGCAGCGGCCATGCATCATCACCAACAGCAACAACAACAGCARCAGCAGCAGGCTGCTCATACGCACTTGCACGCCACCCATCCGCTACATCTAGCACACACGCATACACATGCACCGCACGTGCACACGCATGCTCCTCATACACATCACGCACATCAAACGCATCCCAATGCCCAAGTTAACGTCAACGTCAACGCCGGCATCGGTGTCGGTGTAGGTGTCGAACCACATTCACTTGCATCAACGCGTCTCGGTGGCGTCGGAGGAAATGGCGGTATGGTGGGCATGGTTGGGCCACACATTGGCAATAATAATAATCCGAATAGCAGCAACAACACCGCGGCATCACGAGGTGGGTCAACAACGGCGACGACAACAACAACATATGCTATTGGTAGTGGTGTGAGTGGTGGTGGTGGTGGTGGTGGCGTTAGTGGAGGTGTCGTTGGTGGCGGCGGTGGTGCCGGTAATACCACATTACTCGCATCGGATAGCAGCCACCCCACATCCGCCGCCGCGTATACTCCTCACTCGCTCTATACTCATCATCAGGTAGTAGTGGTGTGGCGTGATGGCTTGTTAAATGTTTAATGTTCCAAAGAAATGTTCAAAAACCAATTCAGCATTCGAATAATAATTGCTTTCCAACAGACAAAACAACTCATCAACTTTTTAGCATTAACATTTAAGTGTTTGTTGTTTATCAAAATTTACAAATTTATTTATAAAATTAGTTTTTACTTAAATATTAAAAACAGTTTTACCACTTGATGATGGCTAGTTTTATACCCTGAAGAGAGTATAGTAAGCCACGAAATGTCCTGTAACAGCCAGGAAAAAACGTCGAAAATATATTTATATATGATTAGCGTGGCGTAGTAAGTCTATTTAGCCAAAATCGTCTCTATGTTCTCATACTATTTTCTCATTTTTGAGATATCGAATATATAGTAATCAATATATAGAGAGAAATATTGCGCACGTGCTTTTTTCCAAGAAGCTGCTCATTTGCCAAAACACTTTGTCATATAACTGATCGGTTAAAATCTAGTCCTTGTATGGAAAAATTTTTTATTTAAGGAATTTTCACACAATTTGGCATATATTATTGACCTAAGCAATGCTGTAAACTCCGMACATATTGTTCAGATCAGGCGCCTATAGCACAAAACTGGCATACAAAATGACAAATCAAAATCAAARTAWAGATCTTTATACCCKTTTAGGCTGCAACAAATGTAATTGAGAAGGGTATTATTACAGCATCGATGCAGCGGAAGTTAAAGTGTTTCTTCGTTTAAATATAAAATTTTGGTATTGCCCAAATTGTCTTTCCAAAAACAAATATTCGRATTCACATAACCGGAATTAAACCGAAATTATATCCATTTCTGCAGCAGGATTTCCCTAAACTGTTTGCGAAATGCTAATTCTGTTGCAAAAATCACAACAATTTTAAAGTTTTACTACATTTTAATTTTTGTTTTGTTACCTAACCTAAAAAAATTAAATAATTTTTAGGTCAGCCCATGCTATTGGCAAACTGTCAAATATTGTTCTCGATTTATCATAAGATAAACAACAATTTTTTTCTATAACAACAAACACCTTGCAGTCAACATCATCATCAGCATCATCATAATCATGAAAATAATTGGGATTTTGAGCTAAACTTAAACGTGTAAATTGTCAAAAAAAATATTAACCCCCTTTCCTTACTTATTGTTAACTATTTTGTAGAAGAAATGAAAAACATAAAAAATTGCTTGCATAAATTATGAAAATTCTCATCAGGCCACATCAGTCACTAATCACCAACAACAACAACCACACATCATTGTTTAATGTTGGATAATAACATAACATCAATTCTTTCAATGCAAATGTTTATTAACATTTTATTTTAATTTTACTTTCTTCTCTACACGCACAAATATAACATTCTAACGGTGCTACAACAGTCGCAGCTAAGACGCGACGATAACCTAGTAAAGCCCAGCTGAAAATCGACAGCAGCTTTATTGGCCTTTCGCCCTAGCCGTCAGCTACAACAGCACACGGCAGACCAGCAGCAGCAACACCAACAACAAGCCGGAAAACGAGCGTCAAAAAAAGCAAAAACTCCACAAAAAACAAAGGAAGAAAGAGCAGCGTCGCAACAAGCAGCCAGACAACAGCCAAAGTTGCAAAAAAAAACGAAATTGCAAACTGCTCACCAAAAAGAAATTCACCTACGCAAAAATGCGAAGAAACAAGACGAAGAAGCAGCTGCCGACAGTGATACCATTAAAATTTCMTCCGATGAAGAGCAAACGCCGACAAAAGCAAACAACGMAGGTGATATTTACACGCTGGACTGCAATGTTGCGTCATTTGAACAACAAAACCGCTGTCGCACACCCAGTCGTAGTCCGTGTGAGAACAGCAGCTCATCCTCGGCAATTTCCTCTTCACTGCGTTCGTTAGACTACGAAGCCGAAGCCGATGAAGAGGATGCCAATGAATGTGAGGGTGTGGAATTGCAGCGCAAACTGGCTGGTGGCAATGACAATTTGATGCACGTGCAGAATTTTCTCAATTATTTCGATGGACAACAACAACAACAGCAGCAACGCAGGCAAAAGTCCTCGACAATATGTTATGTCACACAATTACAACAGGAAATGTTGCGTCAACAAGATGGGCATAATATGGATAATTATATGGCAATGAATTCCACAGAAGCTAATCGTCGTAACACGTATGTGGAGCAACACGCAGTCGATGAGTTGTTGACGCCACAGCAGCAATTGGATTTCMTGTCGCCAACAGCAAATACGACTGCTACTACCGCATTGACAACAACAACAAGTACCACAACAAGCACTGCAAAAGCAAGCAACAAGCCAGGTAAATTCACAATTTCAACAAAGTTTTTACGCAARCCGCGTCACAAATTGAAATCAGTGAATTTAGCGCCGACAGCGGATGTAAGCGGCGCATTGGCAAAAGCAACGACAACAATTGGTAAYGATAAGGCGTTAGCATTGCATGATCAGCAACAGCGTAATGATGATAAGCAATTGTTATTGACGCCACAACAACAACGACAGCAACCACCATGTGCCGACGAACCGAATGTGAAATTCAATTCGAATTTCTCCATTAATTCACTTTTGAATAAGAAATAATGATATTGCGAAGCCAAATTGAATTTCCGTTATATGTACTCGTATTCAACTGTGGCCATCAATATTTGTGCATATAAATTATAATGAGAGGAATTGTACTATATTTCAGCTGATGAAAATTTTAGATTTGTTTCATAAATCACGGCATTTCATTTAATGCGAAATTATTTTTTTTTTTTACGAATATGACTACCAAAGCAACACTAAGACGTAAAGGGTTACATTTTTCCATAAATTAAATACATTCTAAAGATATACCATTCTTTCAAATACTCAAATATAATTAATATAATATTGTTCTCAAAAAGTAAAAATAAAAAAGTTATAYGAAAATCACAAGAAAACCCACCAAAATCACCACTTGTAAACAATAAACAGTCAGCTGGTTGAGAAAACCAGAAAAAGCCTTCATATCCATAGTCAAAAACAGTAAATAAACTGTTTCTAAGCGCATACCACAGTTGCCAATTAGCAAACATATATGTATATGTATGTATATTTTAAAGTAACCTTAATATGTAGAAATCAAATTTGTTATTCTCARTAATAACTATGCGTTTATATTTTATATTAGCTGAACAAAGATTTCYTTTTAAAATCTGAGTAAATTCCCTCGCTATTGTTTGCTACTAGTTATTACCATGTAAGTATGTATAATCAACGAACAATTGTCCCTAATAGCTGCGTAAGTTGTAATTTTAACCAAAACTATTTTAGAAAACCCCATATCCTTTTTATTAAATTGTATTTTAATTAGTCTCTTTTGTTTTAAAGTCKATAACCACATAATTTTAGCTAATAAACGAAATATTTAGTGCTTGTCCGTATACCTATAAGTACTCATAGTAATTAAAGTTTTTATATATAACCCAGCTAACATCGTACGTATGTAATTGTATAATTTATGTTTGAAGAAGCACATTGTATATATAGTATATAATATTAAGCGTGACGACTTTAAAAAATTTAAAGAAATAAAATGATTAAAGCAACTGCTAAACACTTCGAAAAAAAAACTCGATTTTCATTGTTGATCAACAAACTTTGATAATATGTACATATATAAATAAGTACATATGGATAAATCGCTAAATATTGTATTACAAAGAACCATGATGAAGCGCCGCTATAAGCATCAGTCAAAGCGACTATACTTAGGAAGCAAAATTGACGTTTTCGAAATGAATACGGATTTGAAAAGCATGTTTGCAAATTTAGATTTCTTTCAGAGCGCATAAACATGCATACATAAATCTATATGAACCCATGTGGTACATTGTAAGAAACTTAATTGGCAATATAAATTTCATAAGCAATGAAATCTGCTCTAAAACATCAAATTTACACAGTTTGGATATTGCAACGGTTGAACTAGTACTTATACGGTACATACCGTAATATCATATATACAATGAACCCTAACACGGCATAATCAGCTCTCTGTATTCGTAGCTTATGAGTTGCTCGCATCTTACTGAATTCTTCCTATGACTCAAATTGTTGCAATAGCTCGTCTCCTTGAGGYTCCACTTTAGATGATATCAAAGTTATTGGGTAAGTAGAAGGTAGGTCMTGAATTTAAAAAGACTACGCAGYAAAAAGTGAAATAATTATAGACAAAGACTTTGTTGACTAGAAAGTAAGAGTCTGTCATGATGTGTTGTGTGTAATCTTAGCTCAATCTCCATTTACATCGTCTATGAGTGTAGTACTAAAAGGAACAGTCTATTTAATAATTCGCTAACCAAAATCACACTCTTTGCAAACAAAAAAAAAAAAAACAGAGACGCTGAAGTCCACATATGAAGTTGTCATAGTTTAACACAATCACCAAGAGCGAGAACGCTTGCATTTTCCTACAAGTTTTGTTTCCCCCTGCGGGTACGGCGTCGAATATTCTGAGAGMAAGAAATTTTTCATCCATTCTGACGACAAGACCTTGTAGAGTTTGGTCTTTGTTCGTTGAGAGAGGACTTTACTTTTCCATTGACTTCTCAGTCCGAAGTAGYACTTGAAACCTCMTTTGGTATCAAACGGCTCGGAGAGGTCCTTTCCGATCCTGACACAGCTTTTGGTGTTGGTGTTTTGTGTTTACAAAGCCGTATTAGTTTTGCGGGTTTTTCTTACAGGTTATGTACTATAAGTACGAATCTAAGTATGCAGATCAGAAGTATTCTGGAACTTTCTTGTTTTTTTTTTGTTTCATTTCTCTTTATGTTTATGTTGTAATTAAAAAATGTAAGAAATATTCACATTTCGATTCTGAAAACTTTATACTCAGACACACATGTATATGTATAYGCATGAATATCATTCTGCCAAGATAAGTAATACGAGTAACTAACAAGAGTATGGTAAGATAAATTTATATATCAACATGAGTACACACACGTATACGCCCTATATGTATGTACATATGGATATGTATTTATGTAGCCAGTGATAATTTCAGCGCATATTTGTATAGGCTTATATTAGGACGATCTGATATCGACAACTTGAGTCCAGATTTTTTAAAAAGTTGTAACTCAAGGCAACAGATTTGCTTCTTAAGCAATAAATTGCGTAATTTTTATAGAAAATAAATCGCTAAGTGTACAGCAAAATATTAAGTCYATTGCGTAACGCAACAAAAAAATAAATTTAGTTTTATAATTTTATGCACAACCATTGATTACTGTTGGAAAATCAGAAACTGTTAACCTCACTTATGTCATTTTAACCAAAACTTCATAACCTCATTTATACACAAGCAGCTATAAAAGCATCACCTTTCTGGGCGCGTTGAGTAGTTATTCAAAATACGGTAACGGTATATTTATTTAAAAATAAAACGTCAACAAGTAACGGCAGTGCGGGCGCATAAGTGCCGACGGTTTTTGCCGAAAAAATTTTAGATATATAAAAGTGTTAAAAAATATTATTTATTTAGTGTTTCTATGTGAAGAACTGGTTGTTTACACAAAGCTAAAGACTAGCAAAAAAGTTTAAAAAATATATGACTAAAATAAATATGAACCTACTGCTAATAGTTTCTCTGCCGATATTTATATTTGGGGTGCTGTGTGAAGGTACAAAGTTATTTTAAGGCACTTCCTCTGAGAAGTTAAACGCATATACATACATATAGATGTATACATTTTCATTTGAAAAAAAAAATTATTTTGGAAAGAAAAAATTGTTTGAACGAAGGTAATAATTGCTTACTAGTGGACCATAATATAAGAAACTGAAATGATCGACGATCTTTAATGCRAACCGCTCATACATTTCATAAGTAATATTTAAGTGAACTATTTACATATATTGATTGACTTTAGTTTACTTAATATATCCACGCTAAAATATGGTTGAAGAGACTCAACGAGTGCCTCTCTCTCTCGACTTAATGATCTCACACTATTCCAAACTCTTCTTTGAGTAGTTCAGTGTGATACATCTAGTTTGTGGAGGAATTTTCGAGCAATTGATTTTTTTGGAACAGTTTCTGTACCCAATAAATAAACATAACCAATAAACAGGGTTAGTCCGCAAAGTAATAGGACTTTCGGAGCGTGCGCTCACCGACTGCATTTGGTAGAAGGCGTTCCTTGCTAACGAACAAGCGGCTTTTACGTGGAAGTCCTYAAGAGTATCAAACGAAGGCTCAATAGTGTCCGACAAAACATCGCAGCCGATTGGAATTTTCACCAGGACAGCGCTACAGCTCACACCGCCTTCTTGTGAACATGCTACCTAACCAAGGCCGGCAACCCAACGCTTCCGCAGCCGTCCTACAGCCCAGATGTGGCAAGCATTTTGAACGACAGAGAGATCCAAGTAGCACGCACCTCAGCTCTCAAGGTTGTTCCGAAGAATGCCTTCCGTRACGACTTCAATGCTTGGAAAACACCCGGSCAGCGCTATATCGTCGCAGCAGGTGCCTATTTTGAAGCGTTTTAAAGAATTGTAACGATTGGTTCAATAAATTTTTTTAAATCGACTCAGACCTATTGCTTAGGCAACTAAGAGATTAAATTTCGTATCTGGGCATGCAATAGTAAAACTCCGTAATGAAAAATATACAGACAAAAATCCGTCAGCAGTTCGAAGGCTTCTTAATATTATTAGTCAGAAAGAAGAGATCGGCCAATATAATAATCGAAATATAAACCAATTTATTTATAAACGCTTCGCTCGCGTTATTGGTACGTTGTTAAGATTCTTTGAAGATGCAAATTTCAATTCCAATATATAAAATTTTGTCTTGGAAATTTCGATGGCTCATTTCAGCTTCGAGGTTCCGGCCTGAGAACTCGACTTAATCATTCAAAAACACTAAATATTCCAAAACGAAATTCAATAAGACGTCGAGATGAGAACTTTATAATATCGCAATTTCGAATCATTTAAAAATCTACTATATATACATATAGCTACATAAGTAGATATATTATCGGTACATATTAATATAAGTATGTATTATTTCCTCCGCATAATAGGCTTACTGAACTTGAAACACTTCTTTAATACTTTGAAAAATCATCTTTTCTTCAAGCATACATTAGCAAATATGAACAGATGCTGGAGCTCTTTCCACAGCCAACATACGCAGAAAGCAAGGCTTGGCGCAGTGGTCAATATAAAAATTTCGCCGATCATCCTTGTAAACGTACATGCCGCACCAATGAGTCGATGACGTGCTACTATTACTTCGTCGTGCACTACGACGATACCTTTAATCCGAGTTGTGAGCGTTATCTCGAACAACGATTCCGCTTTAAGGTTGGTGGGCGTGAGTATATCGATACATACGCTGTGCGAGATTTCGAAGGCTTCGACGATTGCAAGTATGCGGATGGCGTGAAGACGGAAGTTATGGTTGTTAACGGGCAATTACCCGGCCAAACAATCGAAGTGTGTCAAGGTGACATGATCGTCGTTGATGTTATCAATAGCATGCATGATATCACCACTATACACTGGCATGGCTTGCATCAGCGGCAAACACCGCATATGGATGGTGTGCCATATATTACGCAGTACCCAATTGAACCCGGTCAAGCGTTTCGTTATCGCTTCGAGGTGGATCATATCGGCACGCATTGGTGGCATAGTCATGTGGGGCATCAACGAGGTTTCGGCATAGCCGGCGCGTTGGTGGTGAGACAACCAAAAGTGGAAGATGTACATGGATCTCTATACGACTTTGACTTTTCGGAGCACACAATCATGGTGCAGGATTGGATGTACGATCAGGAAGGCTCAGTGCCGCAGAGTATACTAATTGATGGTGTTGGACGCAAAGTACCAGCAGTTAATGCTAGCAAACCGACCAAAACGACACCAACCCTCTACTCAACCTATTCCGTTGTGCGTGGCGGAAGGTATCGCTTCCGTGTAGTCTTTAATGGTAAACGAAAATTAATTATACTATTTTTTATGATTTTATACCAAAGGCGTTTCGTTTATTATTACTCGTCGCAGGTGTGGCCAATTGCCCGGTAAGCATAAGCATCGATAATCATGAACTGATCGTCATTGCCAGTGATGGTAATGACATTGTACCCGTAAAGGTGAGCAAGATCACATTGCATGGCGGCGAACGTTTCGACTTTGTTCTGCATGCAAATCAAGCAGTCGAAAACTATTGGATACGTGTTAAGGGCTACAACTTCTGCAAAATTAATAGGTTACATCAGGAGGCAGTATTACACTACGAGGGTGCCAAGCGTCGTGCGCTACCAAAAGCGAAGGTGTTCTATTTATATGAACCGAGCGGCAAGGAACTCAATACCGTCGATAAGCCACCCAACAATGATGAAAATCTAATCACAATTGTCGACTTGAAAGCTTTGGAGAAACGCTCGTTACCGGCGGCCGTGCCGCAACGCACCTTCTACACCAGCATGACCGTGCGCACCAAAAATCAGTTCCTCTTTCAGATGGACGATATCACTTTCACAATGCCGTCACGTGTCTCTCTCCTTCAGACACGCAATCTAGGTATTGGTCAATTCCTCTGCAACAAAACTCAGCAAGCTGCAATGGGCTTGAATTGTCGCAGYCGTCAGTGCAAATGTGCGAATGTGATCGAGGTGCCGGCGTTTAATGATGTCGAATTCGTGATTTCAAGCACCACCGAAACGGCGCATCCCATTCACTTGCATGGCTATACATTTCGTGTGGTCGGCATTGGCGTATTGGGTGCTGATCGCATTCAAAATGTTAGTAAAGCAATAAGTTCTTGATTTCCACCACATTCACATACACGAACACATGAATTTGTTAACTTTCCAGATCGAAGAGATTGATCGTCGCACTCCATTGCCGCGTCGGGAGCGAGGCGCACCACTGAAGGACACTGTGCAAGTGCCAGCCTATGGTTATACAATACTTCGTTTTTATACGGACAGCCCCGGTTATTGGATCCTGCATTGTCACATATCCACGCATTCGGAGATCGGTATGGCCGCGGTATTGCGCGTGGGTGTACACAAAGAAATGAAGACGTGTCCGGTGAGCAACTGTGGGCTCTGCAATTCCGTGCTCTGAGCAGAAGAGCAGAAGATGATGAGTGTCTCCAGTATTATTTTTTTATTAAAATAAAAGTACATACTTACATTTTTATATATTTATATAGAATAATTTAATAATTAAAGAGCATTATTATACGTTTTTAACGTTGTCACACACTGTTTTATTGCGTAACGGCTGTGCCGGAACTGTATAATATGGATGTGTATATTATAATATTTTTCGCGAGTTCAAATGGTCCTCATAATGCGACGTTCCGACACCAGATAAGTTCGTGTCAACGAATTCAACTTTTTTAAATGCATCAGTATGGTCGTTGGTGCAAATAGATTGCAATCTTTTATCTTTACCTTTCTCTGACCATCAAAACTGACATCGCATGTTCATACGTGGATGGCTGCAGTACGCCATTCGTCAAACAGTTCGTTTTTTCACTCAAACCGCTGCATAGATAGATAAATAATTGAGGTATGCACCGCGACCTTAGGTCTATTGTGCCCTCTCCTAACTCACAGGGACTCACTTAGCCCCAGCATATTGATAAAGTCCAATATCCTGGAGAGCTTGGTGTGTGGACCCGCGATCCCTGCCCCAATTCCCTCCGACGTTTTCCAGCCGCATTAGCATTAGCTAAAGAGTGGAGTCGTTCCACTCATTGTTRTTGCTGAGGGTAACCTTAAACTTCTTCGTGAATTTAATTGTTTTGGTAATGCTGTGCTTCGGGAGGAGRACTACTGGAATATTGCCACTTATCACCTCTATCCTCTGGGACGAGGTTACCTTGCTTTTGCCACACCCCCCTGCTGTTATTTGTAGAAGTAAGTGCTTGACTACTTGACCGATCACCAAATGAAGCGGTGTGAGTTCCGCGTGTTGCATAGTTTGAAAATGCGCTCGACTCGGCTTAAAGCATCCACTCTGCGGGCACCTTCACACCTACATGCCGTAGGGAACGATTTCATTACAAACATAGTTTATAATTTATCGTTATTGGATAAAGAAATGCAATCACATAAAGCTGATGACGTCAGTACAATGTTCTCTGACCCTTTTTAYGCGTATGTGTTCCTGTGTCTTACACCAGTCAAATAATGTATAAGACAGCTCAAAAATGTACGTTCTTAAACAACTAACAAATATGTAAAGAAAAAATAAGATGTAGCTTCATAAATTTTGTACACACAAAGATTTGTTTATTTAAATTACGACGAGGGCTTCACAAAAAACGAGTACAAATTGTGATAATAAAACATAATCCTTTAACTAAAAATAATGCTCTAACAGTATTATCAGCATTTTTTGTATATATATATATATATTTGTATAATTAAAATAGTTAATTCTCGGTGTCCCGATCTGCAACTTCTATTTACAAATCGATACCTTCTTGTGCAGCTAAAATTGCCTTGATTTTCATAAGTAACTCTTTTTTCACTGCATCGGGAACAGAGGCACGAGCTCGTGGCGTAACGTCGGCAATCAATTGTTCCACTTTTATGTTGTTGCCTTTCTCCTTGATGATATTACGACACATCAGACGCACTTCATCACGCCAACCACACTCAGCCAAACGATTACAAAGCAAATCTTTTAATCTAACACAATAAAAAGCATTAACTCAATTTTATATTTATTCTCCTTATAAATATGCCGGTAACAGCAGAGAATAATAGAAATTTCAAGAATTAGTATATGCGTTTGTACTTACTTGGAACGATCACCACTGAGAATGGTAGCCTGGTCCACAGTCTTTGTTAATGTCATATTAGTTGGTAAATTCTGTAAGAAATTGATGAGTTCCGAAAATATTGCAAATATTAACAGCTGCTTGTGCTATATTAAAAATAATTTGCTTTTACTTTGATTTTGATTCTTGCAAATTGTTTTATGCCGTAGTCCGGATTTGTTTACAACARAGAATAATTGACAAGGCGACGAAAATGTGCACAAAACAAAAATATCGATAAGTCTTTTGGTAAGGCAAATAGTAGTAGTGGATTTACGGATTTAGCGAAAAATACTCATTTTTGAGATATACGCATATTATGAAATGAGTGATGAAAATTTTAGCTTATTTCACAAAACATTTGTCCAAATAACGTATAATATAAAAATATTTCTTATATATGAAAAAATTAAATAGAAATGTCAAAACTCCAGTGGCAATTTTTGTGGGTAAAGCAGTTCATTTAATGCTTAGTTTTATTGCAATAGCAAGTTCCCGAACAGGAAGCAAATTTAAATCTACTAGATTTTATGAGAACTCATCCTAGTATTCGTATTTTCGTTATATTAAAGCGAATTGGGAGAATTACTTATTTCGATAACAGCTATGAAAAAAATACCAAAAGTCTTAATTATATATATTTCTATTCTCACAATTTTTAATAGCCAAAATTTTACTGTACATATGTACATATATCTCTCCAATAGGGATGATATGATTTCTAATTGTCGTTTCGACCATTTAAATATGTCTGGATATGTATACACAAGAGCAAGGATTCGATTATTTTAAGAAATTGTGATATTGAATGGTTTCCAAGTATTTACGAGTTTTTTATTTAGCAATAAACCAGACTCTCTTCAAGATGAAGAAGTCAATATTGAATGTGCGATTCATGACATACTTATGACATGTTTTAGTGGAAAATTACRCGAAAATTGGGTTCATCGAATTCGTTCCTGCAAAATAAGTCGTGGAAGCTAAATGATATTATATTCACAATTTAATTGTACGAATTGTACTCCACATTAAATAAATAACATTTGAATTTAATTAACAATTAGTGTGTTTTTGTTTATCACTGTATTTAAATTGAGCAAAAAGCGGAAATAGCTGATTTATTGACAACTGTTTTCAAATTTGCACAAATAATCTTCCAAAAATTTCCGGTGATACGCCGCGTAGCTTCCATTTTGCAGTCTTAAGCATATACATATGTATCAATGTGACGATCACCAAATTTAGCTTTAGGCTTAATGATTAGAACCAGGTATAATTTGCAAATTGAGTTTCTGCAGTCATTCAAATGGGTATATGTTACTAATTTGCCACCAAAACAGCACTCATGCATAAAAACAGTAACACATATTCCTAAACATACAATACATAGTATATTCACGATATAAACATAACCATAAGACGATCAACATTGAATTTGAAGAAATGAGTAGCTGTATCCGCTCACACAGCATGTCTCAGAGCCGGCCTCCGCAGTGGCCATACTTGGATAGCTTTTCAGAAACTAGTATTTTATGTATATGTATAATAAATATATTTGTATGACGTTATTTTTGTTTTGTGTGTCTTTGACTTTAAATGGCAGAGAATTTTTTCTTGCATCAYTGGCCAGTTGATGCGGTTTTGTAGCTCTCACCCAATATTTTTCCACATTTTAGCCGCTCCTAAGTATAGAAATGCATATACATGTGTATTTACATATGTATGTATGTATGTATGTATATACATAAATGTTTTTCACAAACATTTAGGTTGAACTATTTTCGCTGACGTCGCCATTTTAATAAATCTATTTTGAAAGATGGAGATGTAAGTTGTATTTTAGACTCTTCCAAAATGGAAATGCTTTGAGAGCACGCTATGCAGCCAACTAACTGCACATGTGTGTACGTACGTATGTATATGTATGTATGCATCTACCTTTCACGACTTCTACTCGTTTAAGTAGAAACAAACCAAAAATTTAATAAGTTAATGAACGAAAATGSCAGATGTTCGCTTTTAACGTAATTTCTTAATTATTAAATGATGTTTTTGCTGAAATACCGTTAGAAAGTAAAATAGCTGCTTACAAATTTTCGAAAGAACATAGTTAAGCAAGTAAATTTAGTAATAATAATATTATATTAGTACTAATATGATAGTATGAGCACATACATATGTATATGTGTATTTGTATGTAGATATGCACGTCTTTCTATTAAATGGCGTACACTTTCATTCTAAAAAAAAAGTACCAACTCTATTACTTGATAAAACCGTGGAAAACACAGCAAATATTTCGATAAAAACATATTTAGACATACCAACAAATGCATATTTGCAGCGTTTAGCCTTTGTTAAAATTTATATTCAAATAAAAAAATCTGTTATTAGTTCCAGATGTTCAGTCCTTTACTAGCGGAATAATCGCTTTTCGGAATAATCACATCCGGCTTTCTTTGTTCTGGTTTGCAGCCATCCACACGCGGAAATATCATGATATGGAGTGCCTTGCATGACGTGGTCCTAATTGTTAGCAGTATCAGTATTTAGACATTTCTAGGAACTAAATGAAACTATTTGCTTAAAATTACATGTCCCTTCGCTGGACTTTTATGCAGAATAATGACCCTAAGCACACAGCGATGGGTCGCAAAGGATTGGCTTAAGAAAAAAAAAAAAAAATTGTTGGCCATGGCAAAGCCCTGACCTTATAGAACGATGTTAAAGTTAAAATCCTTTTAAAAATTTCAGAAATTTTGAATTTCGAGAAAATTGGTTTAATGGGAAGGTATTGAGGCAACAGAGATGTGAGAGGCTTGTAGAAAGCATAGCACGTAGATGTAATTTTAAATCAGGGATATACATGGTACCTAGTATTAGAACCGTAAGTATATTATGTCGCTAAATATTTGATTAATTTTTATTAATTTCACATGATTTTTTCAGGTTTTCTTAATTGTGCAACTTGAATATTCAGTACTAATTATTTGTGTAACACTATTATATGTAAGTACATACCCCAAAACCTCACTCAACACATTTGCAATGAATGCGGAAAAATTATTGATTTTTTAGAGGGCAAACACTGCGTTGGAACGTTTGAAGAAGAAAGGATAATGCGGCAAACAGAGAACTCAATGAGTCATGCCTATATGTATGTATGTAAATATAACGGCCGGCTACCTAGCGGCAGCTATACAGGATATAGTGAAAACTTATGTACATACATACATGTACTGTACATACATGAAATCAACAAATCCTTATATATGTATGTATGTATATTCTTACAAATATATTCGAAAAAGCGAATAAGGGTGTATTTCGTAGATACATGCCC